TATTAGAAAATTTAGCCATACTTGGTTATATTTTTGTGATGTAATTTGAATGAAATCCTAAAATTAGTCTTGTAAATTGACATAACTAATCATGAATAAATGTTGACTTATCTCATGGACAAAATATGTTTTATAATCACTTCCCTCACCTTCAATTCATCTGACTTAATCATTGAGAAAATATTTTCTGGAAGCAAGGTGAAAGGATTGGTCTGTAAATTTTTTAATGCAACATTTTGTATTTTGGTCGACTGTTACTTTATTATTTGGATCATGTTGAAGATATACAGTTGTTGGTTATGGAATTTGTTATTCTTTTTAATTTCAAACCAACTAATTGCATAGATTTTTATTAGAATTAATATAAGTAAAAGGTTTGTCACTTAGCTGATGTTACCTTCAGGATTCTGACTCCAGAGTTTCATAGATGGACCCATCCATCCAGGCATCAGCAATTGACTGCTTATACTTCTTGATTTTTCTTCTTGATATACACTTATCATTGGTGCAAGATATTTTCATACTGTGTGTGTGTATGTGTGAGTGTGCATGTGTCTTTGCACCTACCTGCATGTATGTGCGTACATGTAAGGTGCTGTGATTATTTGTCCTTTTCCTCTTTTCTTTCAATTGTAGTCATGCTTAAATGATAAAGTACATATTTATATATGTCTTCACTTGGCTATTATTTTGTTTTCTTATTTGGTTTGGTGGTATCTTGAGTTGAGTACTATTAAAATATTAATTGTTGGAGGTTAGGTTTATAATTAAAGTTTTGTTTATTATTTTAATTTATGTTCATATACCTATATTTATATGCTTGTGCTTGTATATACATATAAAGATAAAATATGCACATACAAACACATGTACACAAGCACGGGTACACTTGTGTCTGTGTTTTGTTATTAATATACTAGTGCTTAAATGGTAAAGCTATTTTTTTCTATTTTTAATGTGTTAATTATGGTTGGATGGGTTTATAGAGCATTTTCTTTGCGGTTTGAATATATATATATATATAGTCTACAGTATCTACTCCTGTACAATCAGGCATGCACATATATGCAATTAAATAGTGCATATGTAGTAAATTAAATATTTGCTTATATCATATGTTATCATTTACCTAATGTTTCATTTTTATTTAATGGTTAGTAGTTTATTTGGTTTTGCTTTGGTGTTATATATTGAGGTATTAATTATATGACGTTAAGTTTGTTCATTTGTATGTGTGTGTGTATATTTATATGTGCATAAAGACATATTCAGATGTGTCTATTTTATATTAGTTCATTTATTTCTTTATTAATAATTCTTTTTTTAAGTTTATATTATATTTCATTTATTTAAAGTTTATATTATTTTTAATTCGTGCTTAGATGACAAAGTAGATATTTATTTATATGTCTACATTTACCTATTATTTCAATTTTCTTGTTTAAGAGTTTATTTTGGTTTTTAAAACTAATTATTGGTCATTTTTAAGGCTTCAATTTTATATAACACTCCAATTTTGAACCTAAACTTAATCTTTAAACATGTTTACTCATAAAAAAAAAAACAGTAATGATTTGGAAAAATATTTTTTATCATTATTTATCATGTCAAACCCCACGTTACAAATTGAGTGCAATATCACAGTTCCAAAATCCCTTGCCCAAATACCCAACCTGTTTTAAATTCAAAGTTGCCCTTCTCCTAAAGTAGTTGCCAACCAAGGCTAAAGTGTCCATTCTGCCCTGCTATTTAATCCAGAACTGGAGGGGGAAGAGATGGATTCATACCTTGCTAACCATTCCAATAAACAATCTAATAAATAAACAAGGTTTTCATTTTTGTTGTCAATCCTTAAGATCAAAGAAAATATATAAATTCACTTTTATATGTTTAGGTTTTATTACAATTCTAATAATCACTTTTCAAAACAATAAACATTAGTGAGGTGTTAAGGTAGTTAAAATAATAACAATATCAATGGAAAACTGTCATTTTTAACACACCATTTTTTCCAGATACAAAGGTCCATGTTTGCCAATCCATTTATATTAACCAGCCTGTGCATTTATGAGTCTTAATAAAAATATGCTTTCTGGCAGGACTCAAACCTGCATCCCCCTTGCAAGGGAAACCAATATATAGTCTGGTGTGTTTGTAGACTGCTCAGCCACAAGCAAAGTTCAATTACACAATTTAAATAGTAACAGTGGTTTCCAATACAAAGGAGATAGAAGTTTGAACCCTTGCTAAAAGGCATATTCTCTGTATTCTTTTTCTTCTATATGTCATGTCCCTTCAGGATGTAGGGCGATCATGGCTCTCCATAATTTCCTGTCCTTTGTAGATCTTAATAAATTTTATCTTTTCTCAACCTTTCTCTGCCATCTAAACCTTTTCTAATTCTTTCTTTGCATGCATTTGTTCTCTTTCTATGCACCGTGTCCCTTCAGACTGTTGGCGATCATGGTTCTCCACAATTTCCTGTCCTTTATAGCTCTTAATAAATTTTGTCTTTTTGTTATCTCTCCTAAACCTTGCTCTGGCATCTGTATTAAAACTTCCAAATTCACAGACCTGGTAAATTTACACTATTTAAAAAAAATATGTATCCTCTAAATATAACGTTTACAGTAATAATAAATAATGTTGAACTGGAAATTAAAATCATTAATTCCTTAATTTTTTTATCAGTAATAACTTCATATCGCGAGTTAAGGGGAGATAACTACATTTATCTTCTTTGCACTGACAACGCCAAGTGATAGTCTTTGGTATGGCAATGGGAACCATTTTAAAAGACAATTGAAAAGGTGAAAAAACTGACCATGAAATTAGAAAAATATATCTATAGATTAATATACGAAAACTTAGTAAAGACTTCATAATATATATCATCTAATTTGGTGGCATAGGTAAACTAATATATGTCACAAGCCTCTTGCTGTTCTATCACTATTTCCATGGAAAGTGTTCAGAACTACATTCTTTAGTTTCACCAGTTCTAACCTTAACAGGTAACGCTCACTATGCCACGCACATTGTAGAGAACCACTCACATTCCTTTTGTATTCCACTGGTGAGTTGTAAGTTCTACTTGAACAGCTTCTTCCCACGAACTGCTTTGCGAAACAAACTCCCAAGAGGATGCTTCCCCAATCACTACAATCTTAATCTGTTGAAGTTTAGGACTAACCTTTATCTTCCCATAAACTGAGCCTTTTACTCTGTAACACTATCCTGAGTGGCTCTTGTACAGGGTGAACATCATTGTAAAATGTGTGTGTGTGTGTGTGTGTAACTATATCAGGGGTAGCCAAACTTGCTTGATGTAAGAGCCACATATGATAAAGTTGAGATGCTTGAAAATTGCATTCACTACCCCAGCGCACCCAAATCTTTAATCCCCTTAGCCATGACATTTCTCTGTAGCCCTTGCTGATCACAAAGTTCTTTAATCCCTTTGCCTCCTACCATCCCTCAGCATTAAAGAACAATGCCTTACTCAAATCTAGTATAAAATAAGGATTTAAATTCTTAAATATTTTTACTAACCATGAAGATTAAACTTACGTTTTAATCCAATGGGGTCTCTATTCATACCCAGCAAATAATTATAAAGCTTGAAATTTTTCTAATTTACCTTTTATATTATCTGTGATGCAAAAAGGAGCTCAGCCAATATATATCTCCACGAGGCACATATTAAAGGTCAAAAAAGCACATGCGGCTCGCAAGCCGCGGTTTGGACATCCTTAATAATATTCTTGTGCCAGATTAAGCTTAACTCTTAAATATTCATTGTAATTTGGATTTTGATGAATGAAAAGTGCAATTTATCAAAGGGAAATAATTTGATTATCTCCCTTAGTCTCAAAAAATGTTAATGAACGATATAAGCAAACAATTATTTTTACCGTTCCCCAATTTCTATCTAGTGAACACTTAAAGTCATAAAGGTTACTTCCAAATTTTTATCCTTTAACTCCCTCGCCAAAGATGGCACTAAAGGTTGCCTTGAAGCAGTTCTTACATTGACTGATCGATGAAACCACTATAGACTCTTGTATCCTTCAATACAGTGAGTATCTATCAAAACAACACATTGTTGTAGTGACAGCAGAAATCACAATCAAAAGAAAATGAAAATCAAGTGACTGAGACATTTTCTTTTTATTAAGCTGAAATCAAAATGAAATTTGTTGGGATGCAAAATATCTACAAATGCATGGAAAAAGCAGTGGTGTACAAAATTCAGGACCAATCAAACAAGCATAAAAAAGGGAGAAATAATGATATAAGTGGAGAAAATCTGACGGAGGACGTGACAAAATGGTTGAAAAGAAATGGCTTTTCTTGTGCAACTCAAATTTTAAAACATTGCTTTCTCAAAAATATTTAACCGGTAAAGAATGATGAATTCTTATGAAAAGAATTTATCAAATTCTGCTAACCATAATTATGTGCCATTATAAGAAAGAAATTTTCAAATATTCAAAAAAAGTTATTTTTATATATCTGTAGTTTATTTAATGGTTGTTCTCCATTTACAACACAGGTTAAGAAGGTTTTCGCATCAAAGTTAAGCAACAATAGGATTTCAAAAAATAGTAGCAGTTGTGAAAAAAACCTGGAATTTAATGAGCAGAAATTTTATAAAAATTTTACAAATTTTTATTAAAATGGGTGATAACATAAAATGCAATACATATTCATATATGTATATAATATGTATATAATGATATGTATATATCATTTCACAGAGTGTAGGATTCAACATTCTGATCCTAGACATACGTCTGGAGAGCAACTCTTTGATCATAGACAGAAATGCTGACCGACATGTAAAAATATCTGTTATTTTTTTAAGTATACTATGCTACTAATAATAATATTTTAAGAATACTATGCTACTACTACTACTACTACTAATAATAATAATAATAATTATAAGAAGAAGAGGATGAAAATAAGAAGTAGAATAAAAATAAGAAAAATATAAATTATAAGAAGAGGAATAATAATAGGAAGAAAAATAATGAGAATAATAATAATAAAAATAATAATAATAAGTAGAATAACAATAAGAAAAATAAATAAAAATAATAAGAGGAATAAGAAGAGGAATAATAAGAGGAATAAGAAGAATAAGGAGGAATAAGAAGAGGAATAAGAAGAATGAAGAGGAATAAGAAGAGGAATAAGAAGAATGAAGAGGAATAAGAAGAGGAATAAGAAGAATGAAGAGGAATAGGAAGAGGAATAAGAAGAGGAATAAGGAGGAATAAGAAGAGGAATAAGAAGAATGAAGAGGAATAAGAAGAGGAATAAGGAGGAATAAGAAGAGGAATAAGAAGAATAAGGAGGAATAAGAAGAGGAATAAGAAGAATAAGGAGGAATAAGAAGAGGAATAAGAAGAATGAAGAGGAATAGGAAGAGGAATAGGAAGAGGAATAAGAAGGAATAGGAAGAGGAATAAGAAGGAATAGGAAGAGGAATAAGAAGGAATAGGAAGAGGAATAAGAAGAATAAGGAGGAATAAGAAGAGGAATAATAATAATAAAAAAAAAACGCCTGGGCTTTGAGATTGAAACCAACTACAGTATCCAAAAAGTGAGGATTTGGTTGTGACTAAGAATTTCTTTCTTTATTCTCAAAAACCAAATCCATTCTTCTAAATCATAGACACAGCTGTGCCACTAAACCATTGTCAAAAAAAAAAAAAAAAAATACCAGGATCTCACCTGGATGTCCCAAAAATCATGGACTATGAGGGCTAGATCTGTGCCTATAACAGATGGCATATTTGGAAATGCCAAAAACATTAGAAACAAGATTGAAAGAATAGAAAATTTGAAGATGGGCTGAGACTGTGCTAGGGTCTAAAGAATAATTGAGGAAATTGCTGGAGATTTGAAGACACTTACTGTTACAAAATCTCCAGTGATAAATGCCAAACATCTGGTATGAACAGATAAATTTATAATAATAATAATAGTAGTAAATTATTTTCATAAATAATAAACTGGGAAAAAATATCTGGAATTAAAGTTTTGTTAATATAAATTGGCTAAAAAATACAATATTTACCAGACACAGTTTTATAACAGGAAACAGGATAGTGTATTGGTATTATGGCTAGAGGGCTGTGAACAAAAAGCCTCAAGCCAGACACAAAGAAAATCAGGATGCCGTCTCGAGAACAGATGGATCTGATAAAACAGGAATCTTAGAAATCTAAAAAAATAATGAACTAGGCCAACCATTCTTAATAAGAGCCATATAGCTCCCAGGAGGCCTTTTGAAGTCAGCTATAGGTTGAAAACTATGAAAAAAAGGGCTCCTAGAATAGCAGTAGTAAAATAAAGCAAGGAAAAACTTTTTTCTATTTGGTTGAGACTACATTCAGTAAGGTGATATCTTTGATAAAATCCTGGAACAGAATCAATATTGCGACAAAAGACAAACTCTGACAGACATTGTCTAATTTTGAACGTCGTATTATGACGACTCGTAGAAAAGAACCAATGTCAAGGATTACATGTTCTTAAGTAGGCTCGTCAGATCTAGATGTTCATGTGGATGTCATGAATGGGGTTTCACTCACTCAGAAATCTCTAAACTATCATCTACATATAATCATTTTCTGATATCAAGGATTAAAAATGGCCTCAAGCGAATGAATATTTTAGGCTTTAAAGAAGACTATTCAGATTTCACAGACTGGAGCTACAGAATTACAAATAAAGAACTTTTCCAAATAACAAAGACATATCACTTGAAGCTTTCCAACAGCAACACAACCAAAAATAGGTTGCACATATAACTAGAAGAGAAAGAAAATAATGAAGATATTGTCTTTCCACACTACCTTAAAAAAAGGTTAGGAAGGAAACTCCTATCAATACTAGAAAGAGTGATAACAGTGGACTTGAGAAACCAATTTTCCTGACAGAAAGATTTTAGAAATTTCAACTGACAGTAACACTAATTTTAGTCAATGTATGGCAAATATTTCCTGTATGAAAATGGCTAATATCACTATTACTGATAGCAGACAGTAGGCTTCATAAATGTTTGATTTCAAACAGTATTGTCTTTTTTTGTTTTGTTTCGTATATCAGAATGATTAAGATTTCTTGCTGTTTAAAAAATAAATTTCTATCTGTTGGTGTCTTAACTCTATTTGACAAGAGGGCCATGGAATGTAACAAGAGCTTATAAAGAGGCGGAAATTATAAAACAGGTGAGAACATCTGAATACAGCAACAGAGTTTATAAGACTGCTATTGAATTCTAAATGCATTGTTCTACTGAGAAGAAGACATTCTTCTAATTTGCATTTTTTTTTCAAATTTACAAATCTGTTTTCCTCAATCTTTCCAATAATTGATGTTTAACAGGGTTTTTTTTAATGAATAGGTTTGCAGCCATAAAAAACATGAAAGTGATAACACTATCATTGTTGCTTGTCAATGCATATTAACTGTTTTTATGGAACAAGAAATATTTTTCTATATTGTAGAATAATTGTCCCTGGAGAAATGGAATTGACAAAATTCTCAACAAGTGGTATTGACAAATGAAATATTGTGATTGAGGATGGTAGGAGCCTAGCAGAACATGTCCAATCATTTCAGCACTTGAGAGAATCATCATTGGAAATAGCATACTTCAGTAGGGGCATAAATTCAAAAGAAAATTCAGAGACAATAAATGAAAAGAGTTCACGGGCTGTGGTTCTTGAAGCAGATGTTTTCAAGTATTTTCATTCACAGGACATGGGAATTCCATACCTGAGTTTGAAAAAAAATGTTTTACATACTATAAAGGACAATCATTTTCAAACCAAGGAAACAGTTCTTTTAATTTTCTATCAGTCTATGTAAAAACCAACAATGGCCACAAGAGCTAAATTTTAAATATTAGTATTTATAAAGTGGCATTCTATGCAATTAAAATATCTCTTTATTGAAGACAGCCTCTAAATGAAGATTATTTGCTCTGGCTTGGTTTTTCTTTTTCTCCAAAGTGAATACATGTCTTATTTACTTAAACAGGACAACAAACTTCTCAAGCATCTGCCAACTACTCTATGACAAAAATTATTTTTGAGTTTGGTCCAACTCAATTATTTTTGAGTTTGGTCCAACTCAAAAATATATTTTTTTTTACAGTAAGGTTCACCATGTACAAGGCCCAGGAGTCACCACTCAGTGTAGAGGATTACATTAAGGGGTAGTTCATATGGATAGGAGGGGAAGATAATGGTTAACTCTAAACTTGAACAGGTTAAGATCATAGTGACCGGGGAAACATTCTCTTGGGAGTCTGTTCCACAGAGTGGTTTCTCACTGATAGAAGTTACAATGTAAGTGACATGGCAGGTCCTAGCCATAATGATTAGACCTAACTGAACCAAGGAATATAGTTCTTTCCATAGAAGTAATGATAGAGCAGCGAGAGACTCGCCATATCCCATCTGTGTAAGAGAGATTGGAGGGTGGAAAATAATAGATATCTATATTATGTTAGTACAATAGATTTTACAACTACTAGACTGATCAATTGCTATACAAAGCATTTTCTAAGAGGTATGTACATATTATTTAGATAAACAAGAGGATTTTACAAGCATTTGAATAAAATAAATATCTTCAAAAAGCTTATGATAGAACAATGCTATGTTTCTTGAAACTAATGATGGAAGTATTCAGTCAGAGGTTGTCCCTTTTGAAATCTTCACAGATCCTGGATTGGAACGAGGCAGGGGAGAGAAGTCTAAAAGAATAAATTCAAGTTTTGTTTTTTAGACAAATTCTAATATCAAATTGATATACATACAGCAATTTATATTTATACAAGTTTAGTTAAAGACAAATGAAATTTCCTTGTTAAGAATTTCTTCTTCTATAATTTCAGAAAATTTTTCTGGTGAAAATTTGAATAAAAATTGACGAATGGTCTGAAATATAGGCAAAATAAACTAAAGAATCCTTAATAAAGAACTTTCATTAGTTTTTAACCAAATTTGTATGAATCAAAAATTGCTGCCCAAATTCATTCAACAACAATCTACAGTGGATTATTCCAATGAGGTCTTTTTAAATATAAAAATATTAAAAAGTTAACTCCACCATGAGAGCTCAATGTATAAATTTATATACAAAGCAATATAAATAAATAAATAATAAGGAAAAGACTTAATTAGTCATCATATCATTGGTTATAAATTTGTTTCATATTTCATATTATATATATATCTATATATATCTCCAGGTAAAAAGAGGTTGTATTTTGCTTTTAAATCTAAATAAATCATTCACTTGCCAGTAATTTACAATCATCTGATGTGATGCATTGATACACATCGAAACACGATTGCAACTGTGTAGTTATTTTGACATGTTTTTGGTGTAGTATCCTAAATAAAAATATATATATATATATATATATATATATATATATATATATATATATATATATATATATATACCTACCTCATCAGACTGACTACATTTTATTAAAATTTATAAACCGATTATATGATGACTAATTGTTTTTTTTCTTTATTATATATATATGCATGTGTATGTGTGTGAGAGAGAGAGAGATTGTTTTTCATGGCTTATTTCCAGGTTATTTAAAGCCAGAAAATATTTTTAGACCATAAGAATTTGGGGGGAGATAATAATGATTTACTGATACATCCTACTAATTAACCCATAGAGGTGGGAAAAGTTGTGGATGCATACCTTTTCCAAAGGTATTTGCACATAAGCAAATATAATGAACTCAACTGGAATTAGGACTCGGATCTCCAATTTCAAATTACAAACCATTATCCATTACTCCACCAACATGTCCAAGCTTGCAGCCCTTGGTATTCCTAAGTGGTCACCCATCTAAGTACTGAACAGGCTAGATGTTCCTTAACTTCAGTGATCATACGAGAACTGGTGTTTCAACATGTGGCCATAAGCCGTGTGTGTATAAATATTAATATTTGAATATAAAATCTATTGTAAATAAAATTTGTGTGTACAGACGAGAGAAAATATAAATAATTTTTTCTTTGTTGCAAAGGAGAAGAGAATACTTCTTGAGATCACTATTTAAAAATTCTATTGTAAATGACTTCATTTTAATATTAATAAAATCCTTTTGCTTTTGTCAATATCAGAGAAAAAAAATTCAACAATTAAAAATATGTGTGAAACATTAATAAAAGTCAGTTATTTCAAGTTAGAGCTACCTTCTAGCATAACACTGTGGATTAATCATTAGTTAAGCTGATTTTACAGATCATTATTACTGAGTAATAAATTTGATCCTCACCAAGTGCAAAATTTTACTATAGCAAATTTCCAACAAACAAGAACTACATAAAAATAATGAAACAGTTCCACGGTAAAATTTTGAAATGAAGTTTTTTGCTGCTACCTTTGATTTGAATCTAAAAATTGACTATTGTTTTCCAGGATATTTAACATTTTTCAGTCATCATTACAATAGGATGGATATTTGAACATTGCTGCATTTCCTTCAATAAATCATTTCCAATGCATTTCCACAGCAACTAAGAAGCCTAAAAATATAATTTAAAATTACAACAAAGGCTTTTTTGCTGTTTGGAAGCATTTGAATATAAGAAATCATTTCATCTTTAACAAGCAACATTTAAAAAAAAAAAAAAAAAATCAAGTTGTTTGGTGCCATTTTTTTTTTTAGATACCAAACAACCAGACTAATTTATAGCAAAAATATTTTTTCTGACAAAGCGATCCAAAATTTCGTTTTTAGGTTTCACCATGAAGTGACTTCAAAAAGATAGAGAAACAAAGATACGTTACACTGACATGTTTGTTAACAAATATTTCATTAGACAAAGAGAAGAATTAAGAAAATATTTTTTTAAAAAAACATTGCATTTTCTTCATTGCAAATGACCTGAAAATCAGCAGTAAAAATGGCCAAGCAATTCAAAGATTTATTTTCAAAATATTAATTTATCATTATGTCCAGATAAAAATTAATGTCATAATAGTAATGACAGTATCCATAAGATTATCACATAATGAACAGACTACAGTTTCCAGAAATAAAACAAAAAACAATTATCGAAAAATAAAGTTAATAGAATTGAGAAATAAAATAAACTCAAGAAAATTAATAATTGTCAGAAATAAAATTAATAGTTAGTCTGGTGAAATAAAATTAGTAATAAGTGTTGAAAAATATAATTAATGAAATAAAATTAATCAATCTTGAGAAATAGAATTAATAATCAATCATTAAATAGTCTCAAGAAAAGTAGTAATTTTCAGAAATAAAATAAATGGTTCTTCAGAAAATCTTTTTAGTCTTAAAATTAATAATTAGTTTCTAAAATTAAAATAATTAGTCAAAAAAATTAAAATTAATAATATTCTGTTTTAAAATAAAGAAAGAAATAATGGATGAACAATCAAGCCACCAACATTCACAAATCAAAATAATTTTAATCAAATGAAACTCATAATCTTCGGATAAAATGAATTAAATACAAAATAATAGTAATGATCCTAAATTTGACAATAATTTTCATTTTTCATAAATGTAGCTGAAATGACTAATCAAAACACATTTTGGGATTTATTCAAATGATGTTTGATTTCATGTTAAACACTTTTCAAGAAGCAAATAAAAAAACGGAAATTGCTTACTGAATATTTCAAGCAATTTTTTCTATTATGCACCAATGTAGACATTTTATTAAGGACGTGACTGTCCTCCACATTGCTACACTTCAGACTATAAACGAGAAAAAAATCCAAGAAAAATGGCTTCAATTTTTTGCAACCAAAAGAAATATTTCTGAAGGATTTGAGTGCACTAAGCCTAAGCAGAGTATGATCAGCAGCTGTTATAAGACGGATCAAGTGTTAATCTCAAAAGGGGCACAAAATATAACCGAGACACAATGTTAACAAATATTAGCATATTACAAAGCAAACTCCTTCCTCTCCTTGGGTAGGGGAGTAGAAAATACTTTTATTCTCATCACAAGCAGGGCCTCTTCTAAATGTGGCTACAGCGTTGGTTCCACCTATGGAAGCAAGGGCTAACCAGAGAGAAGCTATGTTACCAAAACTTTTAACTTTATTGAGTTTTGAAAATTGAGAAATTGGTACAACTCCAAGCCTCAAGTCCATTAGGTGAGTCTTCAGTTCTGTTTGACCACAGCAGAAGTGAATATAGTATTAAGTAGATTATATCATCAATATATTACACATAACTTAATCAGGTACAAGGCTACTGCAATGGGGCACCCAGTGGAGATCTAACTACAGAAGGTGTTCAGATATACACATATACAGAATATGTTTAGGATAAGACTGTGAACCATCTTGGTGATTGAGATTTCTTAAAATTTCCTCTCAATATTTGGTCAGGAAATAATAAAGGTAATTAATTTATAACAATACAAAAATTGCCATCCAATGGTTTTTGGGAAACAACAGGTTGGGGGTATATTATTAAGGTGAATAATTATGCAAGAAATGCTTCTCAGGAGTTGTGTAGCATAAGGATTGAAAAAGAGGATTAGAAAGAGGGAATTGGTTTAATTACTGTGTTAATTATAGATCACTGATTGACCAGTATTGAAAAATGACAGCAAAACCTTTGGAATATGAAAAGCTGCTTTGTTGACAGTGATTGCCAATTGTCTCATTGGTAGAAATTATTAAATATCCTGAATGCACCATTGATTTTTAGTTAGCATAGCACAAGTTCATTTCAGAAGAAATATGGTCCAAACTTTCAACTTTTTTAAGGTATCATCAGGGTAGGTAAAGACAAATGGTGACTTTCATAGAACTGGTGAGTTTAGTGACATGAGCAAAGTGTGTTGTGATGAGGTGTAATGTGTGTGCTTACTTTTTTGTCTTTTAATAACATTTGCTCCCTAAATACACAATATATATATATGTGTGTGTGTGTGTGTGTGTATTAATTAAATAATTAAGAAAGAGATAACCTTAAGGTTCAATGACTATAATTTATTTCCCCAGAAAACATATTTTTCCTGGTTCATCAGGTCGCATCTCTAGTTACAAGGGAATTTGTTTTCTTTTATTTTTTAATACAAGTTTTTGAGGGATAGTTTTAGACTGATATAAGGTGACAGAGAGAGTGAGAGGGGGAGGACTACAGAATGATCTTTATTGGAAATAGAAATTAAGGATAGGGTTGTTTTTAAACCATCTTTAATAATTTACATAGGTTCAAGTTTACTCGGTCAAGAGGCCTGACAATTTGACTTCTTAAATACTTTTTAGACAGGAAAAGAAAAGAAGAAAAAAAGAAGACAAATTGTAAAGCAGGGGAGGGGGGGTAAAGAGGAAGAAGAAAGAAAGAGTTATATATATATATATATATATGTGAAAAGTGTATATAAATATAAATAAATATATATATGTATAATCATTTATATATTATATATGTACTTATTAGAAAGCGCTCAATATCAGAGATAGAGCTAACATATTTGGTTGGATAGATGTGAGTTTGTGACCCTGGGTTTCACGCTTTAGCGATCGTCAGACTGACAAATTCACATCTATCCAACCAAATATGTATGCATATGTATACACATTTCATAGTCTAAATGAATCCATGGCTAAGAAGATCAAAAAGATGAGGATATTGGTCCAATAAATGTATAATTAAACAAATGCTCAGCAAATATGATCAGCAGGTGAATCCATGAAAGAATTTAATAATATTTAAATGACAAAAATGGTAAAAATAAATAAATGTTCAAAATGTCATATGAACATCACTTAACAGATAAAGTGAGTCTAAAATTCATAAAAGTGAATGAAAAAAAAAAAACCATTAAAAAAAAAAAAAAAGGTTGCAGATGTGTTTAAAAATCTGCTTTAAGGAGAATTTCATAGAAACCCAATCAAATGAATGACAGAGCCGAAGTTTTAGAATAACCACGGACATAATTGTCATTATCACCGTTTTGATTAAAGATATGTCTTATACACATGGAAAACGAGATGATTCCTCAGAATAACATCTGAGATGATTTTTTTTTGTTTTTTTATTCTTTAACACCCAAAAGATAAGGAAGTGAAATTGTGCAAATTGATGAAGGTGAACACAAAATGCATGACAGGGGAGTTACCTATAGTTCTGAGGTGAAGCATCATCGCAACATGATCGTTTATTTGGACTAATATTCTCATCTTTACTTTAACTGATAGGCTCTAAAACCATCTACAGGTCAATGTGGCAATAGTAAACAAACTCAGAAATTTACTCAAGACAGCATTTATATTATAGTATTTTTTGTATCTTCTTTTTAAATATATAGCTTTCCATATATGACATTAGAATATATCCAATATTAATTATTACTAAAAAAAAAAAAAAAAAAAATGATGGTGTGTTATAAGAATTCTTCAGGAGACACCTTATAAAATATTTATTATACTTAGTAATATCTATTTATAATTGCCAAAAACTTAAATAAACTCTGACTAAGCTTCACTTATCTCCAACCCCTTTTATATGCACCAGCAAAGAAATATAAAAAAAAAAATTCAGATATAATTAAAAAATATCTGTAAAAAGACAATATGAATAAAAACAAAAGGAAAATTAATGTTTACCAACATATTTTGTCCTCTGATGGACTTTATCAAGGTAAATTTAAAGGATTTTATTTTGTAACAAGTATGTAAAAAAAAAAAAAAGTAAAAATATTAATATTTCAAATTTTTTTTAAATTTAAGAATGCTCATAAATATACATCTGGCTAATTGAAAAGTCAAAGTAAATTATGGAAGATGCTAAGTGATGTAATTTAATGTGTTAAACCAAAGTTTGTAAATGTTATTGTTGAATTTTTTTTAATATAATTATTCATATTATTTTAGTTTGAGAAATTAATTTATGCATTATATATTTTAAATAATAGGTTTTAAACTTAACAGTTTTCTTTTAATTTAAAAAAAAAAATTTAGTTATGCATGTTGGTTTTGGAAAGAAGTATTTCTTTTAGGAAAGGAGATATTTGAAAAAAATCTGGTGCAGATTTATATTTTGCTAAGATTCAATTATTTAAAATATATACATATATTAATTTCTCAAATTAAAAGAATATAAATAATAATTACATTATAAAAAATAATTCAACAACATTTACTCAATTATTAGACATTAAATTACATCACTTAGCTTCCTCTATAATTTACTTTGACTTTTGTTAGAGTGATGTATATTTTTGAGTGTTCTTAAATTTAAAAATTCTGAAAAACTAACATTTTTACTTCTGTTTATAAATACTTGTTGCAAAATAAAACCCTTACATTTGCCTTGATAAAGTCTATCAGAGGACAAGACACATCAGCTAAGTTTTCCTTTTGTCCATATATATATATATATATATATATATATATATATATATATATATATATGAGGGAAAAAGTGAGAGATGAGGATATTAGTCAAAGTCATACCAAGACTAAGTTAGCAGGTTGACACAATCTTCAGTCACTTCAAACATATGATACAGTTTGCTTGACCGTCTGCAAATGTCAGCAGCAGTTTCTTGTACAGAGTTCTTGAGGTGTGGTCTGATGTAACGGTTCATGAGAAGCATCTCAATGGTGTCACGGTGTTCTGGTTCAGCCGATGCCAGGTGGAGAGGTGTGTGACCCCCATTGGTCTGGGCATTGATGTCTGCCCCATTCTGAACAAGGAGAAGTGCCACTTCAGTGTTGTTCCAGCGACAGGCACTGTGTAAAGGCTGCCAGCCATCTATGGTAGTTGCATCAATCTGAGCATCCTTCAACAACAGCAACTGAATAAAAATAAAACAGTTTATTTTCGTTAATAAAACTAAAAAAGTGGGACTTCAGAAATATTATTTGATAATGAATAAACAAAACTGCAGATACTAAAACAATTCACTTTTTATTCTTGGAAAGTTCCTTTGGAAAAAAATATTTCTTACAAAAACAAAGAATTATTGTTTTCTTGTTCAAGGAAGCATTCAGCGTTCAACAAGAAAAGTTTCAGCCAAGTTTTCTCAAATGTTTATGCTTTCTCTCATACATCATAATAGAGATTAACTGGGTATGATGATAAACTACATCTGGCAGCAAGGCCTCTGATTGGAAGGTTTTGAGGAGCATGGAGCCACATCTAAACTGGTGTTGTTCCTAGGTCCACCCTGACTTGAGGTGATAACACCAGTTAAGGTCCTAACTATGGACAAATAGTTAACCCAAAATATATTTTAAAAAAAAAAAAAAAAAAAAAAATTAAAATTACACGCAATACATTTTTTGAAACAGAAATTACAATGTTCCAAAGAAAATTAAATTTTGGCATTAAATGACTCATAAGGAGTTGAAATTGTACTAAATAATCAAACAAATAGATTATCTGTTTGTTAAAAAAAAACAAATTGATAAGGTTATTCCTGGTGGTGTTCAAATTTACATTCAAGTTTCCTCTCTACTGAACAACAAAAGCAGAACAGACACTTTGATCTAAGTATTGAATAAAAAAAAAAACAAAAAAACATAACATGCATATTTGTCAGACATACAAATATAATTTTGGGATCACAATTCTCAATGTTTTAGATGCACATTTTGGGCATGTGTTGATAAATTTTATATACATAATACCAGTATATTAAATGCAGTGTAAAATTTGTATAATTTTAGGAAGACAAAAAAAGAATTGCAAAAAAAAAAAAAAAAAATCAGAAAGAATTCACTTCAAGTTATTTCTTAATAATCTTTTTATTTTTCTCTGCTTAATGTGAGAAAGTGGGTCATGTAGACTGAATAATTCTTATGGTCAGACTTTGCAGAATGAATAATTTTTGGGATAAGAACTTGCAAAATGAATAATTCCTGGGACTGGTGTTCTGCAAGGGCAGAATTAATAATTCGTAGGATTTTAACCAAGCATCTTGGTGATATACTTTTTCTTCAATTTTAAAATGATCCAAGTTAAATCAATCAGTCTTTATTAAGGAGTGATTGAAGGCAATCAACACATACAAGGTATATCATATGAGTCAAAGTAACTGATCCCTGAAGATGACCAAAGGATACTTGGCCAAAACGTTGTCCTTATAACACCCATAACAATAACAGATGAAAATAATGATTAACTAAATCAAAGAAAAATGTTGGAAATTTCTCAAAAAAAAAAAAAAAAAAAACTTATCAATTTTGCAGAATGACTGTGGTAAGAATGAGAAGTTTTTGTTAATGTAGTTCACTATACTAGCACTAATTTGGTAACCAGAACAAGTAAATCAAAGTAGTTCAGTTTTTGTTTATTAAAATGAATAAAAATTATAACTCAACATTTTCATTTTTTTTTTAAATAAAAAATGGTTTCACAGGTTTCATTTTTAACAGGTTTCTTTTTTCACAACAAAATGCAGGAAGATGCAGAGAACCATGATTGCCTCCCATATCTTGAAGGCACATGACACCGAGAAAGAGAGTTATTAATAACTACACTTATAATATGTTCTTTTTTGTATATTGATTCTGAAGCTTGTTTGTTTATAATAAATTGGAGAAAGAAATTGTTTGGTAAGTAATTGTTTTGGTAAATAGATATGTTCAAATCAGTGTCAATGCAAGGATTTGAACACATCACTTCTGCTTGATATCAGAGTAATATTTAACATTGGGAACCACTGAGCCTTAGATGTAAATGTCTTCCATCTTGAAATGAAATCAAGAATGTACAAAATTTCATTCATGGAATAAAAAAAAGTGTTGTTACAATTGAACCTGTTATGCTGAAGCAATGACAACAGTTTAATACTGGTACAGATGTTCAAGTGATACATTTAAGATTAAAATATATTGATTAAGCATTTGCTGGGTACAGAGGTGAATAGCTGAATGATTAAACAGGGTATTGATACTGGATTTAGAAACCCAAGTTGTGGTATGTTAACTTTACAGACATCTTTTCATTATCAGAAGAGAGAGAAAGAAAAATTGAAAGATTTAAAATAAAAAAAATTGACAAAAAATATGTACCAAACTATGTGAGAGTCAAGTGAGCTTAATTATCACTGCCTTGGGGTGATAGCAAACCTTGTATCTGAAGGCAATGTTCAATTGATTTGATTAGCAACATAATTCGATTAGAATCAACAGCGCTTAACAATGATGACAAACAAAATGGTTAATGAGCAATAATTAATCAATTGCTCAATGCATTAAATGCAAGTAACAAAACAAAATCGCTGCAACTGCTGGCTTTCAAGCACAGTTCTTGGTTGGAAAATACAAATTTCATTTCCTGAATTAATGTGGCCTTTTGAATATTATTTTTATCATCAATAATTTTCTGTAATTTTTTTTGTTCAAATGAAAGATAATTACACAGCATCTTTCCAAGAGAAATGAGTCAGTGTTCAAATGCTGATCTTACAAAAGGTGAGGTATTTTTCTTCTCTAAATGGAAAATAATTTCAATGTCATTCTAAAAGAAATGAGTCAGTGTTCAAATAAGCTCATCTTTCAAATGATGACTTTTTCCAATGCTTTATTTGGATCATTTAACTCCTTTTTTTATTCTATTCATGTTGTGACAATTTTTGCTGACCTATAAATTCATAAGAATTGGTTGATGGCAAATCAACCATTTGTAGGTTATTTAAAGCTAAAACATATTTTGAATTGTCAGAATAATTCTCTTCTTTTTTTTCAAGGGAAAATCCTACTATTCAATCCATGATGGATTCCCTTCCCAAAAATATATGTGTAATCATAACAATGCTTGAAGTATTGTTCTGTGACTTGGTATATTGAAAGAGTTAAGAATACTCAGTAATAGAGTGAAGATACTAAGTGGAAAAAATATACAAGATTAGTTAACCAAATTGGAAACTTATGGAAGAAGGCTCAGTTTAAAAATATTAACCAAAACCTATAGAATACTTATTAAGAAGGCATCAATAGGATTTGAACCTAAAATAAACCTAGTAAGATGTAGCAAATTCAATACAACTGAATTTTCTCTATCCTACTTCTAATCCCCAAGGAGGCTGTGGTGACAAGATTACAAAAATTCTATCAAATCTGTGGCGTGTTTATTTAGTGAATCATTCTACTAAAGTTACATTGATTCTTACCAAAATGTCTGAACCCAGAATCTGAATGAAGGCACTTTTGAACATGTCATATCTGGTTGGAGATACTTTAAAAATATAACAATGTGCATTCCTGATAGGAAGTTCTTTATTTGAAAATACTATCTTTCAATGTTGTTCTTGCAGGCAAATAAGTCCATTCATGCCTGTGTTTGCTGTGTCCACAGAGAATGCTGTCTTTCTATTCTTCTCTCCTCAAATCGAAAGAAATTCCAGCACCTAGACACAAACATCTAAACTTGTAGTTAATCTTTTCTCAATACCACAAGATCACAGAAGAAAATCAACCTTGAGTGATCGTAACCTTTGACAGTCTACAATATCAAATTGTTGGTCATTTTCACATTGGCATTTTGAACAACGAGGCTTTGGAGAAAATGGAAACAAAAATAAAACTTATATTCAACATCAGGAAGTGTCAGTTGAAATTTCTGGGGTTTGGTGTTTGAATATTGATAGTGTCTTTCAGTATAAAAAGAAAATGCTGACCTGGAAGAAATCAATTCAGTTGGTGTATTAAGTCTGACGTCAAGAATGCAAAAAGCCTTGCAGTGGTAGATACCAAGGCTTACAACTGAGAAAACAGTTATCAGTGATTTTGTTTTGTTTTTTCTTTCTCTCTAAAACAAATGTATATATCCATTAAACTGTATTTCCAAAAAATAGGACAGAAAGTGCAGCACAGAAAACCAAAGATGCCTTTTGGTATAGCAAAAGAAGTCTTCCTTAAAGCTGAGCAGATTATTAAGAAGCAGAAAAATATTGTTAAAAACAAAGAAAAGAGTCCTGAACCGCTATGCAATATCAGTCCTCCTATATGGCAATGAATGCATGAGAATCACAGATGCAATAGAAAAGTGGTTCTATAGAAGGATGCTGAGAATACCATGGACTGAATATGTGAGCAACAACAAAGTTTTAGAGACAATGGCAACAAAAAGGACATTTATACTTAACATCTGGAACAGACAGTTGAGGTTTCTGGGGCACATAATGAGGAAAGAGGGCTTGGAAAATATGATACTCACAGGACAGATTGTTGATAAGAAAGACAGAAAAGCAACACAAACCTACCTGGCGAGCTTCAGTGAATGAATGGCAGAGCAAGATATAGGAGGGATGGCAAAAAGACAAAAGTTATTAAGAGCTACAAGGGACAGGAAATTGTGGAGAGCCATGATCATTAATGTCCTGAAGGGACACAGCACATTATTAATTTCTTTAATTACATGGGATAATAAGGAATTTAACGTATACCCCAATTTTCATAGCTCTTTTGCATTCATAGATATGTTACTTAAAATTTTGTTTCACCAAATATAAATTTTATCATATTTACTCTATGGGATTATATATGTATATTTTATTAGTATAAACATCATGGGAACATATGTTTGTATTGAGATCCTTGTTTTTTATTTAATTAATAATTAATTATTTAATTAATATCAACCAACCTAGATCAAGGACAGTTGATGTTAATTTCCCTGTTTAAGAGAATAAAAAAACAAGGATGTTAACTCAAATATGTGTATCCATTAAAAATAATGTGTATAATAATGAACAATAATATCAGAATTAAAAAATTAATTAGAAAAAAAGAAATATGTCATCAGTTCCCAAGTAGGCATCTATGCAGACAACACTACTATTTACTCCTATCTCAATAGCAAATCCGGAGTCACTGATAAAACTAACCTGACCATTGGTCTTGGGGCAAGAAATAGCTGGTTAATGCCTCAAAAACAAAACTGCTCTCTTTTATCCACCACAGAGAACCCTCCCTGCCTCCTATTAGAATGTCTGATGCTCAACTCCATGAGATCACCTCTCTGCGACTGCTGTTGACCTGAGACAGAACAAATACATTGAATCAATAGCTTCATCTACCACAAGGAAAGTTGGTTCTCTGTTTTGTGCCAGAAAGTTTTTCTCACCCGAGTCCATCTTTCAAATCTATAACTCAACCATTCACCCTTGCATGGAATACTGCTGTCATATATGGTCTGGAGCCCCCGCTGTTCATCTTAAGGTCCTGAACAAAATCCAGAAACGGATATGCAATGTGATTAGCCCTGATCTGGCATCTCATTTACAATCACTCTCTCACAGATGTGCCATCACCTACCTCTGTCTTTTCTACAAATACTTTCACAGTAACAGCTCCAACGAGCTACTTTCGCTAGTTCCCAAACTGCATGACTTTAAACGTGCTACTAGGTTGGCATCTCAGTCCCATCTTTTCACTGTTGAAACAGTTAAATGTAGCCGTCTCTTCTACTCCAATAGTTTCATCTTCCTCTTACTTGCTTTCCTGGTAGCTATAATCTGCAAATATTCAAATGCAATGCCAATTGACATCTCCAGATGCCTTGATCTATTCCCCATCCTTCTCTTCATCCTTTTCTCTATCATGCGTTTTACTATTGTTCCCACTCTCTGTAACACCTTGCATGCTAGTGGGACTCCTGTCTTGCTTGGGGTGAAATGCTTAAAAAAAAAAAATATATATATTAAAGAAATAGGAAGATCGACCACTCATGCTACCGTGATTTCAACCATTGAGATATTGTCAAGCAGTAGAGGCTAATTAATTTCCTAACACATTATTTGCTTATTATATGTGTGCACAACAGGAAGACTGAATTGGGTAAAATAAGCCAAGGAATCTTGCAAAAAACTTGTAACTTGTTAAGAATTGCCTTGCAGACTAATCAATGAAATGGAACAAATGAGTGTATTTCTTGTTTCCATGGAATTAAGAATAAAAACAGACATGTATTTATAAAATATTACATCAAGGATTTTTATCTATCCATATCCAAGAAAGGACTGTTTGAAGCTTTGCTAAGGGCTTTGTTGATATACTGCTTGAACAGGTAGAGATAATTTTGCATTGTCGTAATTCTGTGTTATTCTAAAATGACAGAGCATGGCTTAAAAAATCAAACAAGAGTGCCTTTGATGTCCACGAGGTTCAATTGACAGTGCTGAGGTTAATGGGCCTGTATATTTTAAATAAGATCAACAAAATAGCCCACATAGGGACAATGAGCTGATGGCAGTACCAGACAATAGAAAAATAAATGACAGAAAACTGCTTTTTAAACTTTTCAAGAGCCTCAAGTTTGAAATTGCGGTCGATATAAACAAGAAAGTCATCCAATACCTGAATGTGGAATTAAATCCACAAACTGGCAGTGTCTTGCCTTATATGGAACCTAGCACAAAATTGAGGTATGTGGATGATAGATCTAACCACCCTGCAAATGTAATCAAGCAGATCCCTAAAGGAATAGAGTGCAGGCTAACCAGAAATTCCTCTTATAGAATCATTTTTGAAGAAAAAAAGGTAGAGTATGAAAAGGCATTAAAAGAGGCGGGGCATAAAATTAAACTGGTATTCAAACCTCAAATGAATCAACAAATGAGGAATGAAAGGAGAAAAAGAAGCATTATTCAGTTTAACCCCACCTCTGTTTAATTTAGAGGTGAAATCCAACATAGGGAAGATAATTTTCAAGTTGCTTGATAAGCACTTCCCTAAGAGTACAAGATTTTTAATAGAAATACAGTAAACTTAAGTTACAGCTGTACTAGCAATTTGGAAGCTACAGTAAAAAGATAAAATGCCAGGAATTTCAAGACTAGCATGCAGCAAAGTATTGTTGATAGTGAAATATGTAACTTTAGGGATAAAAGGAAATGCCCACTGGATGGAGTTTGTAAAAGAGAAGGAGTGGTTTACAAAGCAGAAGTAAAGGATGCAAATGGCCAGAGCAAGATATATGCGGGGTGGACTGAAGGCACCTTCAAAAAGAGATGGTACAACCACAAGAATAGAAAGCCATAGAAATTGTATCAGACTGGCCAGCTATATGTGGGAATTAAAGGAAAATAATAACAAAAGCCCTAACATAAGCTGGAGCATATTGAGGAGAGCCAGAACTTACAGTAACAGTAGGGATATCTGCAGGCTGTGCCAAGAAGAAAAATTAACAATAATAACATATCCAGACCAAAAAAAGCTGTTAAATGAAAGGTCTGAAGTCATGTTGAGGTGTAAACACACTAAAAAGTATATTTTGGGTTTATATGAACCCGGATGAAAATATGTATAATTTTTTTTTTTCTTCACTCCCCATCTCATCTTATTTCCCCACTCTTGCCTCACCCCTCACCTTCTGTTGTGCGAACATAAAATAAACAAATAAAACATTAAGAAATTAATTAGCCTCTACCACCTAATGAGACTTCAATGGTTGAAACTATGATAGTATAAGTGGTTGATCTTCCTACTTTTTAATATTTAAAAGCTTCTTACAATCAATTTTTTTGGATTGTGTATTGAATACTCTTTAATATAACTGTCCCCTGGTTTGATTCAACTCTGACCATCAACGCTGTTTTTATATATATATATATATATATATATATATATTATAAATTAATTGATTTAAAATATGGTTATTTTCGCTACACAGTTCCAACCATGTTTCAAAAATAGAAGCTTAAAAACCCTAATTTTATTTTTTGCAAATAAATTAAAAGCATTAGTTCCATTTCATCTTCAAGCGAATTTTGGAGTAACTTTTAAAATTTTGGTTTTTAAATACACAGCTAAAATCACGTTTCCATGGTTACAGAATATTCTACTCAAATTGAACACGGGTGTCTAGATTTTCCTTATGACAGTATCATTGTATCAGTTATTAGCTACATTTTGGTAAGGGGTGAGGATGTATTTTACACTGAAACCTGACGTCGGTTGAATGGATGTCGTCTGAAAAAAAAAAAAAAAAAAAAAAAAAAAAAATTTTTCAACGTCAAACATTTTTTATTTAACTACGATTTGAAATATTTTCCTTTTTTAATTTTATTTTACTATATCTTTTTAAAAATTAAAAGATTATGTAGGATTTTTTTACAAAGTATGTATGTAGGTTACATTTTTTTTTTTTTTTTTATTTAACTATGACAGCAGAAAAGGATTTGAAATATTTTCCTTTTAATTTTTATTTTACTATATTCTTTTAAGAACATTAATTTTATTTTATTTTTATTTTATTTTATTTTGCTGTAAGGTGTTATTTTGAATCCATTATATTATGTAGGATTCTGTAACCATTTTAACATTAAGTTTAAGTATGTATTTATTTGAGGTTTTACATTTTTTTTTTTTTTTTGTATATGTAAATTTACATTGACTATTTTGTAAAAAGCAGAAAAGGATTTTATATCTTACTGTTGTTTTTTATTTATATACATATATATATATATATATATATATATATATATATATATATATACTGATTCATGTGTAAAAGTGTAAAAAAACTTTTAAATATTTTTTACTCAGTATCCTATATATATATATATATAATATTTATATATATACACATACATACACATAAGATTAATACAAATATAAAAATATTGTCACTAAACTGATTGATGTTACCTTTAACATCCCATTCTATAGCTAAATGATATTTCCTGCAATACTGAGGACATGGGTATATATATATATATATATATAAAAAGAGAGACAGACAGACAGAGAGAGTTAAAAATACATAAAATTATATTTCAATTATGGTATTCATATTAATTTTTATTTTTATTTTATTTTATTTTTCAATTTACTATAGAACTATTTTTTATTTTTGGATGAACTTTTTTTTCTTTTTAATTTATTCAACTTCAGCAACGGGCATAGCAATTATTTACTTTTGACCATTTCAAGATGTCTTCATTTTTCATAAGATGCCCTACATCAAAGGAGAGAAGGGGCTACATAGCAATTATTTACCTTGACCATTTCAAGATGTCCTCCATAAGATTGTGGAGATATTCTTGAATTAAGTATGGCTTATCTTCCAGCAAATTCAAAACTGTATCACACTGACCCTTTTCAGCTGCATACAGCATTTGCTTCTTCGGATTATCTGCAAAGATGAAAAAAATAAATTCACCATCAAACAATTATGTACAAAAATGAAAAAAATAATAATAAAAAGATCAGTAATCTTCTTTTATGGCTTTCTTCAGGACATAGGTGATCATGGCTCTCTACAACTTCCTATATCGTGTGGCTCTTAGCAGTTGCTCTCACCACCATGTTCTGTTACTTATTCACAGAAGCTTTACAGGTAATAAGTGGCTTGCTGTCTTCCCTTATCTATTTTGCCCCATGTTTTTCAAGCTCTCCTTCCTCATGTAAAATAAAAAAAGATTTATACAGAAAGCAAACCATTTTCTTTTGCCTGCCTTGACGATCTTGTGCATCACATATTAAACAACAAAACATTCAATAACAAACAGTAAAACTTTAGCACAGTTTTCAACAATTCTTGTTTTTTTTTTATCATATTTGTAATGCAAGTTCCCTTATAGCAATGAATAAGAGACAGTATCTTCAAAGATGAAGAGATTTGAACTGACCACACATTGTTGCTTTTCATCTCTTAAAACAATGTTCCCTACTCTTCCCTTAATCACAGAAAAAAATGTTCTTTTTATATTGGGCATCTATAAATTTGGTCAAATAAAGAGAAAGAAATTTTATTGTAATAAAACTTATTTCAAACTACAGTAGGCAGATCAGGAGTTGTGAAGATCTAACATTCAGCCTGTGCCATTCAAAAGTGCAATGCTGGCAAAAATGTCATAATTTACAATTGTATTTGTCATATTCCAATAAATTTAAAGAAAGGAAAAAATAAATGAATTATAGATAATTGAATTTTTTTTATTCACATTTATGCAGAATTTTTTTTTTTTTAAAGTTGGTATATTTGATTTTTTTTCCAAGTTCACAGCTAGTGAAATTACATTTGTAAGCTTAATGACTAGGATCATAAGTATTTTCTCAAGCATCCTGCTAGTTTTATTGATGGTTGCTACATGTTAATGTATCCCTGAATTTTTCATAGGTTTATTTATATCCAAATTAAATTTGTAAATACTTAGATTTTCAGCCCCAGAAGCAGCTTCAGTTTTGACATGAGGTCTTTAAAAGTCTACAAAATTCTTTCAGCCATTTTGTGAAGTGATATTATTGTTTGTAATACAAAAAACAAGGTTGTCTCTCAAGCTGAGATGGAAGGAAATTCTTAAGACATTTAAAGAAAATTTAAAATTACTTCTATTTTAATTAACTTTTACTTCATTCATTTAAATTTTCTGTCTCAATTCAGTTAAATGGTTTGTTTGTATCGTATGTTTGTGCCTATGAAAAAAAAATTGAAATCAATGGTTTCAATAAAACTAACAAAGAAGACAACCCAGTCATTACAAAAATAAAACTCTTTGATAATGGCATGTGAAAGCTGAAAGTGATCAAAAGGCATTGGACAATTTATGTTCAAATTCTCCCAGGAAACCAGGAAAACAGTCTGAATTGTAAAAGAATTAAATTAAAAAAAATCTTAAAAAAAAACTTTTGCTGGCATTCACCAAAACTATACATAAATGAAAAATTATTGTCCAAATACACCAAATTCAAACTATATGTATGTATGTATGTATGTATGTATGTATGTTTAGATAGCATATCTTCATTCAAATATGTTTCATTGAATAATATAGACGTATTATGTCTATTTTTATAATAGATACTACTTTACAGTTCTCTAATCTGTTTCTTGATGTTAAGATGAAATTCATCAAGGAAGACACTATAGGTTTTTCTACCCAAGTACTTTCTCACTCCTCCAAGATCATCCTATGATTGACCCCTGAGGACGATTTTGGAGATCAAATGTACTTGGGTAGGAAAAAAACTACAGCACCTTCCTTGATGAATTTCATCTTAACATCAAGAAACTGATTAGCAATCTGGAAAGGCTCATTATATAAGTCTATATTATTCAACATATATGATGATGATGATGATGATGATGATGATGGTGGTGGTGGTGGTGGTGGTCTCTCCCACCGTTTTTAAGTGTCTTTCAGTTCAGTTTTATATGTTTATGTTTCATATGAGATAACAATCCTGCATGGGATTTGCAAACAACTCCACACGAAAGGCATACTGAAGGGTTGACCATCATATGGGTTGATGTATTAGTCTGAGATTTAATGTTAATTCTTAATTCTCCAGATAATTGAGATAATTCTTTTCAAAGCTAGTTATAACTCGGTAGCAGATATATATATATAGTATGTCTAAAAATCGCAAAAGTGTGAAACCAGCGGTTACTATCCATGCAACCACACACATATATATATATATATATATATATATATATATATATAAAATCATTTCACCCTAATGCCACTAAAATGCAAGGAGTTACTAGGAGTGGAAAAGAATAAAACTTTAGTGAAGAGAAAGTACAATAAAAAACAGAAAATAGTGATTGATGTTGTATTTAAATTTTTTCAAGATTGTAGCTAGCAGGGAAGCAAGAAATTGGAAGAAAGTTCCACAGGTGAGAATTGCAAGAAAAGAAACCATAAGAATAGAACTTAATTACATCTATTACATTCAACAGTAAAACAAGGAGAGCCAGTAACCAATCTATTAGTACACTTAAATTCATGTAGACAAGCTACCAAGGAGGAGAGACCATTAGAACAAACATATATAATAATATAAGTTAAGGGCAGATATTAAATGCATGCGTGTGTACCTTCAAGTTCACTGCTGGTGACACTGATACTTTCCATGTCTCTTTCATCATCTTCCCAGTAGCTGAGGAATTTGTTAGGCTCTCCAGTCTTCTCTTTCAAGATCTGAAGAATACAAGGAAAAGAAACAATTCTCAATGATTTTTTTTTTTTTTGCTATCCATCCTTGCCTTTATTTACAGTTTAGGGTCAAAAAGTTCAATGACAAAAAAGTAACTGCTCTTATTCATCATATCAAAAAACAGTGATCTGTAAATAATGATTTTGTTAGAAAATCAAATGTAGGTGCACACTGGCAGATTTATATAATTTATTTACAGTCTTTATTAATAGTATTTGTAATAGTTTGGGCTGAACTGTTCAGTGTGAACAAATAATAGAGAACATAAAAATCTAATAGTGAAAAATGTAGCTATTTGACTAAATTTATTTAACATCTACTGGTTAGCTTTTATAGCTGTATAAGACAGGCTCCAAAAAGATTTCATTTCAAATTTCATAGGATACTAATCCTTTCTGATCCAAGTTACTTAACATTTGTAAAATGGCCTGAGAATTAAACAAAAATACTATAAAATGAAACCTAATAAAAGTAAAAAATAATTTACTAATGTAGTGAGTTTGATCCCCAGTGGGTGACTCATTATTGTAAGCCTATACCAGAGTATTTTGTTTTTATTCAGTCAAGCCAGCTCAGACATTCATGAGTATCTTACCAGCCATCATGGTTCTGCATTAAGTTTGGAAAGTCATTAGTGTGGTATTCTGTGTTATAACTGATCAATGTAGGTGAGTGGTAGGCAACCAGCCTGTCTTGTGCCATAGCTAGGTGTCTAGAAGAGTAGATCACTTGCAAGTTCTTGTTTTGCTCACCAGCAGTGTCCTGCAAAGCACATTCTGCATAAGATTGTAGAAATATCAGGGATGAGTGCATAGAGTTGTGATTAAGTTGGATGTTGCCTGCAAGGAGTTTTTAAGTATATCTCTCAGCATCCAAGTGTAGGTTCCATTAGACTCAAAGGTTTTAATTAATGTACAAACAGTGGCACCATAAATTAACACCACCTCTGCAGAGGCTCCAAAGAATCTGTTTGGGGTCATTTGGTATATTAGTTTTTAGATTACATCCATTTTATTCAAAGTGGCCTATGTGAATTTCCACATTCTTTTCAGTAGAATTTATTTTGCTAGTTATATAAAAGATTCGACAGACCAGACTAAAATGAGCTTAATAAATATGAAATTGATCCAGAAAGTATCCAATATGCAAAGTCAACTTTCAGAATTGTCATCAGCTACTGTGTTGCCATCTCCTTATTCTTATCTAGAGTGTATCAATAGTGCTTTTATGGTTGGAAAAAGTCAGAAGTTACAGGGAGCTAAATCTAGACTGTAGGGCAGCTGACAGACATAGCTGGTGCGATTTAAAAAAAAATTAAACCTTTACAAGACATGAAGAATTTACATACTTGCTTATTGTGAATGCAAAAGTCACACAGTACACAAACTCAGCCAATAGTATCTCATTGGCAATGGAGTAACCCCACAGGAAAGTGTTTGCTCAGATATTGATTACTAGTTGCATCAAGGCTGCACAAACAGTTCTTGAGATATTCAAAATGGTAAGATAGACATTCATACCTGTATATGATATTTGGTTGATTCTTGATTGATTCATTTTCTACGGCTTATCAACCCTTTGCAGGTTATTTAAATTCAGAAAATATTTTTATATTGTAAGCATTTTTTGCGGGGAGATAATGATGTTAGTGATACAAGTCTTACTAATTATCCTATAGCAAGGAGAAGAGATGGGTTCATACCTTTACTAAGAGTATTTACACATAAGTGAATATAACGAACCCAATGGGAACTGGAACTTGGCTCTCCAATTAATGATTCCAAGCCATTATCCATTACACCACCCACATATCCAAGCTTATAGCACCTGATATTCCTAAGTGGTCACCCATTTAGGTTTGATGTTGCTTAACTTCAATGATTGTACAGGGATTAGATATTTTTATATTTGAGCCCAGGTAAAAAAACAGGATATTAAATTTCACAATTTTTCACCCTATTCAAATTTTATCTCAGCATGTATGACAAAGAAACAAAGCAAAACGTCAATACATAATATCTTTAAAAAAATGTAAGTATTGGCTCAAAATTCTCATCTTTAAGTAACCAATGACGGTTAAACAATCATCAATGATAAAACCATAATGATTTCCAAACTTCTGAAAACAATGAAATCATTTTCAAACAAGTGACCATTTTTTTTAATTATAATAGAAAAGCAGATTTATTTTATTTTAATTAAACAAATTACTCATTTTCTCATTTTAATCTTTTTTAAAACTAGAATTTTTTTACAACATGCTGACAAATGTTGAAATCCTCACAGTATTTAGTATTGATGAAGTTATCACTAACATATTTTTCTCAGAGATTTACAAACTCTACATTTCGTTCAATTTCGCAAATCAATCCGTGAAATTTGAAGAAGCTGATCTGTTTGGAAAAATACTTTGACAAAACCCTACTTCACAGTTTAATAATTTCTTTAATTTTGTAGGACTTCATAGTAAACAATATTTTTTAAAATTTCTTTTTTTCCTTTTTAAAAGCAAAGAATAAATTCTTAGTATTTCTTATTCTTGAGCATGCAATAAATAAACTGGCTATGCATAAATATTTCTTTCTGAAGCCAAATTCCAACTTTTTGAAGTATTTGGCCTTGTGATTTGTTTATAGCTCTCACAAATGAAAGATGTACTGGAAATTGGATTTTTGTTTAAAGATATGCAAAAAAACAATATTGCATTTTTATTAAATAAGTATTTGTTATTTTAATCACTAAATTATTTTAAAAATAGTGGGAGTATTTTGTCTGTTAAATAATAAAAATTTTAATTTTTCCAAAAGAAAATTAATGAAAGTTTATTGTACTGAGCCTGTACTTTGTACTCCCTTACCTGTTTGCACTTCTCCCCAAAATTTTGTTTTGATTGGTCAAAGTATGGCTATTTTAGAGAGTGTGACGGATGGACTAACAAAAGTCACAGAATTTTATATATAGATTTCCCCACTTAATGTAAACAATGTGAACAAAAAATGAAATTTGTCTTATTATTTTTTCTAAAATACATATGGGGAGAGAGAGAAAGTAAAAGTCAAAAAAATAAAAAAAACTCATAAAGTGTGCACTGACCTGAGCCATGAGATCCACATTGTCCTGATTTGGAATTGTATCCAATGATTCACTATCTTCATCAGACATGGTAACTTCAAGGACTTGGTTTAACTATCTAATATATATAGAGATGGTTAGTTGACTTAAGCATCAAAGAAACATCTACAAAAACAAAAAAACAAAAAAAAAAAGTTTTGCTTAAAAAAAAAAAAGAATTAAATGATCACTAACAAAACATTTTTTTAATAGAATAAAATAAATGGTGGACTGAAAAGTTTTTGATCAGAACTACTTTCCAAAATCAGTATTTCAATAACCAAACATCAGAATTCTGATTTAGAAAGTAGATAAAGTTAGAACTTTTTAGCTTTTTAGCTAGAAGTTTTATCTTGTACTTTTCTTCATAGCATCTAATTATCTAAATTATATACAGTGGGAGGAAAACAAATATTTGTACATATACAAATTTTTAATTTATTGTATTTCCAACTAATGAATAAACATACTTTCATATAATTAACTGTACATAGATGCATAATAACTAAATATGCATAGAAAACAGAAGAAATTTTGATTTAATAGAAATAAATCCCATTTATCCATTTTAATGGGTGAAAAAAGTATCCATACAATACAAAGAAGAATACATAATCTTCATTTAATAGTTTGTAGAACAGCCATTATTTACTTCTACAGCAACCAAACTATTCTTGTAGTTCTCAATTAATCTTCTTTGCATATGGTCTTCAGATCTAGGATGTTTGTTGAAGCTTTCAATTGGATTTGAAGTTTCAAATAACAATACAGATTCTCAATTGGGTTCAAATCTGGGAACTGACTTGGCCATTTCAGGATATTCACATTATTTTCAGCAAGTCATTTCTTTGTAGTGTGCTTAGGATCATTATCCTGTTGGAAGATCCAATCAGGAGGAACTTCAAAATTTTCAACCAAAATCATTAAATTTGCTTCCAAAATATATTGTTATGCTGTGGTATTCATTCTACCATCTATTACTGATATGTTGTCAGTACCTTTTGCAGAAAAACATCCCCAAACCATGATGCTGCCACCACCAAATTTCACTGTTGGAACTGTGTTTGAATGCATCACCACCTTTCCACTATACATAATTTCTAGAATTATGTCCAAACATCTCAATTTTGGTTTTGTCTGTCCATAATACTCTTTCCCAATACAATTCTTCCTTATCCTTATGTTCACGAATAAATTTCAACCTGGCATTTCTGAGTCTTTTCAATAGCAGCAAAGTTTTCTGTGGGGAGCATGACTTCATTGCTTATTGTTCATTTAGTGACACAGATTCCTGATGAAAGCAAACTATCCTGCAATTCTTGATGAGTAACCATTAGATTTTTTTTAATTTGGTGCATTAATTTTCTCAAAGATCTTGAAGAAATCTTCCGTGGAGCACCTGTCCGTCTTTGGTTTTCAAGAGTTTTGAGTTTTTTATACCTTGCAATGAATGAACTAATGTTAGTAAATGGAATATTTAGGTTGTCTGAGATTTTCCTATAACTTTTACCTTCTTACCAGAGCTTAACAATCAGTTCTTTTTGTGAATTTGTAAATATTTTACCTCTTGCCATGATAACTTACACAAATATCAACTAGAGAATATTCTGTTTGTATTTTTTAGGCTAAAAATAAACAGAATATTCCACTTGAATAATCTAGAGTATTAAAGTAATTTAAAAGTTTTAAAATCTGAAATTTGGATTCTACAAATACTTTTTTCACCCATTAAAATGGATAGATAGGATTTATTTCTATTAAATCATTTTTTTTTGTTTTCTATGCATATATAGTTATTATGCATCTGTGTACAGTTAATTATATGAAAAGTATGTTTATTCATTAGTTGGAAATACAATAAATTAAAAATTTGTAAGTGTACGAAAATTTGTTTTTCCTCACTGTATATCTTACTTTAAAATCACACTCTTCATGCCATGATCTGGAAATCACTTAAGGTGTGAAACTGACAGTCGCCATACAGTGTTAATGTCTATATATACACTGTCTATCTACTTCAAAATGCTCTATCTCTAGCACTTTTCTCACATAAATATAAAAAATTTAAACATATAATTACAGAAATTATAGAGAAATTTCAAGGGGGAAAATGTGTTATACCAGATGAAAGTGACAACAAAGGAAAAAAGAATTTACATCAGAACAAGTAGGAAAGAATTTAAAGAGAAATATGCAAATCATTTGGTATCATTTAAACATGAAAGATAAGTGTAAAACTACGGTGTCAAAATATACATATTAAAAATAAAACAGGAAACCCAGTTAGTGGAATATATAATTAAATTTGAATATTAGAAGAAATTGCTATCTATGCATGGAGGAGAAAATATGGATCATAGAATTCAGAATGTATATAATTTGATAAACAAAAGAAAAGAATTATTTGGAACTGTTGGTACACTGACATATTCAGTTAAAAAATATGAAAAGAACAATAAATTTCAGGAATACTATCAAAAAAAAAAAAAAAAAAATACTATCACCCATTTTGAAAAATCACAAAGCGTAAAACAGTGAGTGAATGTGTAAATAAAACAAAAATGTTTTTTTCTTTGTGTATTAAAAAGCTCTTTTAAAACAAATTTAAAATAGAGCACACATATATAAAAAAATCAAGATATATATATATATATATATACATACACACACATATGTATGTGCATATGGATTTTGCACAATGTTATACCAGAACTTCAGAGAAGTCAAGTGAGTGCTTCAGCAAGTTTCAAAAGGTACAGACCACACTTCATTCAATGTCAGTGGCTGCCCCCGATGTGTAGACACATTGTCTACTCAGCTACATCTAACATATGCACATGAGGAAAAAAAGCCATGACAGGTAGCAATATAAAGTCCCACCTGAGAGAATAGAAGGGGAGAGTTTCTTACATTCTAGCATGAATGTCGAATCCACTACAGTAAATGAAAAAGTCCAGAGTTTAATAAAATGTAATGTTATGTGGAAGAGAAGTTTTGTGTTCACATTAGAATGTACAGCAATATTACAAGAGCAAACATTTTTTACCATTACCAAAATTAATGATTAATAATGATTTCAAAAAGATTACCAAAATTAATGATTTCAAAGATTACCAAAATTAATGATTAATGATTTCAAAGATTACCAAAATTAATGATTAATAATGATTTCAAATTCCTGTAAACCTTACAAACAATCCTTCATCAAACACTATAGACTGGCATTACAAAAATCAGGTAAAGGGCATAAAACTGGTTTTCATTTCTGTGGTATGCTAAAATATCATTTTTTTGTAGGGGTGAGGTGTTTTGAAAGATTTGAAGAGCTGGTTAAAGTCCTAGTGTTTATTTTGGAAGATCAGTAAAAATGACGCTTCCTGTGATCTGAGTTACTTGAAGGGGTGGATAAAATCACCCATTTTTATATTGTTTTCCTCTTTGGAAGGTATACAGAGTGACTCTTCCTGTAATGTGACATTTTTCTAGGGGTGGTTAAAATCCCATTTTGTTTTATTGGTATTGTTTTCTTTCAAAGGTGTGGGGAGTGACCCTTCCTGTAATGTGACATTTTTCTATAGGTGTCTGAAATTCCCTTGTAATGGCTTGAACAGAAGAGAAGGACCTGCTAACCATACTCTGGTACATTATGTTTCAGAGGGGAGGTTCCTTTGGGTTAAACTATCATCACAGGTGGTTGGGGTCCATCTGCATGTTTTTTTTTTGTGGCTCTTATGTAGAAATCCATGTTTTGAGTTTTACAGAAAATATTGTTATTGTAATTAATTGCTTTGTTTTATTTATTTTAAGTTTTTCTTTTAAATTTGTTTTATTGATTGTTTCGTAGTCCTGTTATTGTAATTTATATAACAAATGACAAAATTTGGTGGGGGAGGATTGTAACAATACAATTTCTCACACATTGTTAGAAAGTAAGTAGATAAACTCCTTCCTTTTAAGTCCACTTGGCTATCTGAATTTTGTCTCCAGTCCATCCTTGAGGCAACTAAATTGCCTGGGTTTTCAGGATTCATGTCTCAAGTTCACCTTTGAATTAGCAACATAAAATTTTATCAATGATTTTAGATAATCATTGAAAGTTGTCCTATGAAGAAGTTGACCACCCAAGAAGCTGAATGGGTGGTCCCGAACCTCCCAGAACACATGTGGATGGAGTAGGGTGGAATCCTAGCCATTAGCCATATAAGCAGAGAGAGGCAGGAAGTCAAAGAGGTCCAGCCATGAGAGAAGTAAGTAGGTGACCAGGGGAATTGGTAGCTGCCCAAGTTAGGTTAAGTGAGAAATCGTATTGTTCTTAACTCTCAACCAGTGTCTTTAAAAGAATTGTCATTATTATTTTTTGTTGAATACAACCACGGCCATGTGGACAAGTCTGTGAGCATAGCAAAGTCAGGGGTACATGCAAATATAGCCAATATTGGATGTCAACACAGGTGCAATGAATGACAAACAAGCAGAGAACACCATTACAAATTTCACCATGAAAGTAGTCACATTATCAAGAAGGATCAAGCTCTACTAGTTAGGGCTAGGTTAAGAAGAATGTCTTCCAGGGCAACAAACATGGCCACTGAATTGTGTGCAGAAGAAGCTCAAAATGCATCTAGTCAATTTATCACTAACATCACATTGCCAGACAAGTGGTCTGTGACTACAAATGCAGACAGATGTGAGTCTTTTCAGGACTACTTTCAGTCAGGAGCTGTTTAGCAGGGAGCCCAGCTCAAGTTGATGCTTATTTGGCCAACTTTCCCCATCTTGAGGCAACTCTAGCAGCTGGGCGCGAGGGTCCCATCACAGAGTCTAAGGTCTGGGAATCGCTGAAGCAGGTTGGCCAAGACTAATCTCTGGGATTAGATGGTCTTCCTTATGAAAAGTACTTGGGGCAGTCGCCTGTTTTTGTCCTCTTGCTAGCACTGATTTACAACAACTGGATGAAGCAGGAGTCTATATCTCAATGCTTCTTCAGGGGT